TTATCCTTTTTTAGTAGTTAATTGTCGGTGAAATGTACTGTCGGTGAAATGATTGTCGATGAAATAATACGGACCCCACCTGATGCCACTAGTACTAGATAAATACCCCCAACATACAGAGGGTACCAAAAAGTTTGTGAATCTTTGTGTAAATCAATGTAAAAAACATTGCTACTTATATTGTAAATACAACAGTAATAGTAAAATGTTTCAAAAAAGTTTTTGTTTTCATATGTTTTACTATTGATTTACACAAAGATTCACAAACTTTTTGGTACCCCCTATATACAGTTCAGTAGAAACCTTCCTTAGAATTGTAGCTATTAGTATGTAAAGTCACGTGAGAATGGGTTACACAACATCATCTCAATCTTGTTCTTGCAAGCAAATGAGGTTTTTGAATAGTAGTAGTTTCATTCAAACTGAGAAAAACACCATTCAAAAATTCCCTTGGTCAATTCCATTTTGATATCAGTAATAAATTCTTTCTTGTTTTTGTCATCACTATTTTTTTCTGACTTTTGATGTCTCCATTCTCCAAATCTCTATTTCCACAGCTGGGATTAAAACTTTAGGAGGTGGCTTATTAGTTGAATTTACTCCTGACCCAGAAATTTTTAAAGAATTTGCCTACTTTAAAGTTGAAACTATTCAAAGACATTAGTCAATATGGTCTCGTCTGTCTGCAGATCTCTTGCAGATCATTAACCCTAATTATAATATTGATCAATTGCTGATGGGTGCTAATAAACATTATAATTCCCATATTAATATGTTAATGTTGTAAACTGTTAGTTAGTTATCTGTTGTAGATATTTTTAGTAAAAAATGTCTTATTGTACCAACTTTGAAGTCATGTTAGGCTTGTAATAATATTTAGTTTATAAGTCATCATTATGAAGAAACAGATTTCAGTGAGGAGGACATAATAATAATTGCTGAATATGAATATAAACCAGAGCAAGAAGAACAATAATAAAAGCACTGAAGACAAACAAAGCATTAAAAGTAATGTAAGAGCTCAAGAAAATGCACATTACTCTTCAACCACACATTACTCTTCAACCACACACCCTTTTACCATGTAATTTCACTCATTTAAATCTCCAAAACAAGGCAAATCATTTTATTAATTGTTTTAAAGTGCAAATAACATAGTAATATTGTTCTTAAAAATGCATATCAAAAATAAGTGTCAAATTTGCCAAAAATTGGCCTACATATACAGATTAAGATTAAGGGATAAGTTATTGCTGTGATAATCAAAATGTCTCTCATTTATGTCACATAATAAATGTTCAATTTGTCCCCACAGATGCAGATTATTATATTCTCATTGTACTCATCCCCAGATTGGGAGTTTGTTGAGGATGGTCCAGAGGGAGACCACTTTTTGATTTTCTCATGCTAAAATTCATGTCAGTCCATGGTGTTCTATGGACTTAGGACGAAACTCTGCATCGACACTTTACGTGAATTCAGACAACCCGATTGTGAAGACAAACATGTCAGAGAAATCCGGTAAATTGGTACACTTGGAAAGAGAGTTTTTGTTTTTGTAGGGTCAATTTATTGACCACCTTTATTTAAAAAAATCCGGTACTTCACCCCGCTGCATGCTTCTGTTGCCCCATCAACTCGGCCTCTGCCTCCGTATACCTCTCCCCCCTCTCCCCAAAAAGCCGAAGGCTTATTTTTACCGCCGCCTGGTATTATTGAATCGGCGGCGGTACTCCCCGACATTCTCTCGGTACTGCAACTCCGGAGTAATTAGGCCGGGCTAACTCGGTGTCTATGGATGGCCAATATGGTTCGAGGTATTTGTAAACTTCTCTGAGGCAGGCCCAGATGAAAACCCTGCCTGTTTCTTCTTCTTGTTTCGTCGCGGTGTAGACTGAGGAGTTGGCGAGAGAGTCCAAGTCTTTGAACTAATGAGCTCGACAAAAATTTCGGGGGTGAGGTGTATGTGCATTGTTTGTTGGTAAGTTTGATCGATTGAAAGTGTTTTGTTCAAGAGAGTTGTTTTAACAGTTGCTGCTGAAAGTGTTATTGCTAGCTTGAGTTTGCTTGCTTTAGTACTTTCGCTGCTGTGAAGTTGAGGTTGAGGATGGGGTTATTATTATATGTACAATTTCCGTTGTACCAATTAGTCTGCTGACAGAGTTATTTTTAACAAGCACCAATAACAAATAAGATTATTATCGAAAATTCTTTCATCGCTCATATGCCAAGAGTTTTGTCCAACTACTCATTGTTCCGAAATGGTATTGAAATATTTGCAACTATACTAATGATTTATTACAAAGTCGCTTTTTTACTATGTAGGTTGGGATAACACTGATTATATAGGAAATACTTTGGAGGTTCATTCTGTTAACCTATCCGTAATGTGAAAGATTCTTTTATTGAATAACTCAACAACATTTGTGCGGTTTTAAGCATATAATTTATTTATTTTTTCGCCCAAAATTAGACCGAGGAATTAATAATACAGAGAGTAGACTGAGGGATATTAACTCTAAACTCAATAAATAAATGAAGTCGCTAATTGAACTGTCTCCACCGTGATGTGATAGTAATAGATAAATCTGTGTGCAACATGCATCGGTCCCAAGATCACGTTACCGTAACTTTGTCTGGTGCTCTTGGGGTTAAGTTATACAGTGCTAATTGTGATGACAACAGACAGTATTCGCCCAATCGATATTTCGTATAGTTTACTCACACGAGTGGATGGGAGCGCAAAATTCAGCGCTGGTAAATACTCGTGAATTTCTCTAAATGGTACGAGAGTCATGCATTAATAACTTAGCCACTTATCTATCAGGTAATTCTACAGTCTTGTGCTCAGTGACTGGCCCGGCAGATGTTAGAATACGAGATGAAAAATTAGACAAGGCAACTTTAGATGTGATAGTAAGACCCGCTGTTGGAGTCGCAGGTATGGCATATTGAAATATCAAGTCCATCATCCTGCATTCTGTCGACAACCTCACAACCTGATTTGCTTAGCCACAAAGGAAACATCACTCGCATATATTCTTCGCACAACATTTGAGACTGTCATTCTCTTATCTCATCATCCACGCACACAGATTCAAGTTGTGGCGCAGATAATAAGTGACGATGGAAGTGTAAGTTTCGTTATTGATATATCGCAAGAAATGAACGTTTTCTTGTTCGTGTCTCTCATGACAATTCTTCTTGATTAGATCATATCGCATTTGATAAATGCGACTACTATGGCTTTGCTCGATGCGGGCGTTCCAATGAAGGCGGTGGTTGTTGGCGTTGGTTCTCTTGTCGACGATAAGGGAAGGATATCGATCGACCCTACCGCCGATGAAGTTGAAGTACGGCAAGCATGAAATTGGTACATTGAAGTTACAGTCAGTGATTCTAAGAAACATGTTATTTGTAGAAAGCTGTCTCGACGCATAACTTTGCCTTCGATAGTGTGTCGTTGGCAGTTCTATACTCTGAATCAACTGGCGTATTTACAGAGGAACAAGTAAAGTCGGATACACATGATTTGTGGTAAGAGATAAAGATTTTTCTGATATGGCTAATAAATTTCTTTTCAATTGTATAGTATTTTCAGTGTTATGAAGCATGCAAATCTAGCGCAGAACAACTTTGTAATACTATACGGAAATCAGTACAAGCAAGACTTAATCTTGAAAACTCACGACAATAAAACTCAATTATATCTAGTCCAAGAATGCATTATCCACCTGAAATCCGTACTGCATATTAACGTTCTTAAAATAAATCAAACTAAAATAAGGTTTGTATTAGGTTTTAGGAAAAGCGGATTTAAGCTAAGTGAAAGTGTATAAATTCCCATCATTTTATTTAGCAATCTTAAAGACTATCAATTGTTAGTATTATTACTAACAAGTACCCAGTCCACTTAATGAAGAGAACGCGAATCACCACCCACACGTTTATATTTTGCCTTCTGAACTGCATTCTACGACTGTCATCCAATAATTTCACACTAATCAAACTGTTAGAAGACGAACTTTACCACATGTCATACAGAGAAGGCTAACGCAATTTGGCTCTGCGTTATTTACCACACATCCACGAACAATTGCATACACAATCCGAAATCCATATCAATATGCTCTCTATAAAATGACAAACATCGACTTACCTCTTAATATTCCGCATGCATCGCATAGAGTAACATATCTTTTTGTACACCAATCTACATTAAAAAATTTCCTCGTTAGATTTGTATAACGTCTAGCTCTTTGCGTAACATTTTGGATAAAAAAAACCCTAGCATTTAGAAACAACATACAAAAGATTTATTGCCCATTCGTAGAGATTCATGCCGACCTTTCTCCAATTATTGATTGGCGAGGAGTGGGTAACGCACACTGACTGAATCTAATATTCAGTTTGGTTGAAGAATTGGAAAAAATCAGCTCATGATTTTTGATAGTTAAACAAGAAATGTAACACCCTTTTCCCCCTTATTTTCGCACGGAAAATAGAATTTTAAGACCTTACTCGAAAATATTTGCTATCATCAATAGTAATTGACACGAGTCCTATACATTTTTTTTTTTCGCCTGCTCACCTTATGCGCTTCTCAATGTGCTGAGACTTAGCAGAAACGACCACAATCCTATTATATCTTTACTAATTGCAAGTGACATGCCGATTAAAATTGATTTTCCAAAGCACGTAATTTCATCTGTATGTAGGATGTTGTAAAGGATAACTCGATGCAGTTAACCAAATTAACTCGGAAAAACAAATAATAATTTGTCCTGATAGACTTTCCCTCCAGCAAATCGATCAATTGTTACAAAAAAAGGTTGAAACCGATTTTTCTGAAGGAAATATAATAGTAGTGTGTGTTACTGTCCTACTGCTAATCTGCTATTGCCCACACTGCCTGCCAATATGCCACTGATTTCCTCGTTGCCTATAACCTCCCTACACCAATACCACACTACTGTCATTGAGAACACCAGACCCGCCAAATATTAGGGGAAAGTCTGACAAATCAGTCAAGAAAGTATGTTAACACTTACGTGATTGACGATCGGTAATAGTCACATGAACAAGGACTGGTGTGTGTGTGTGTATAAGAGAACTGTGGAGTCGTCAACCGACTCTTTATTCCCTGTAGCAAACCACAAATTCTCAACCGTATAAGACAAGTATTTATTGTTTCTATCTATCTCAGCAACCCCACAAACTTGCAAAAGATGCTGCAAACATTATTCTATTTATCAATTGCGTGCCAAATCTTGAAGTGAAATGAAATAAGAAAGAAAAGAAAGAAAGAAAGAAAGAAAGAAGAGGAAAAAAAAAAAAGAAATTATATACAATTAAATTTTCGTAACCAACTGCTTCACATCTCCTGTCATCATTCCTCTTTAGCTTTACCCTTAGCTTTGCTTTGTTTTGCAATTAGAGCTTCAAAGTATGTTGTGACGAAATTGCTTAGTTTCTTGCGTAAATAATCATTCAGCACAAACTTAGCTTGTGTCGAACGTTTCGATTTCTTATCATCTTCATTTATACTTCTAAGCTCTTTCTCTACAGCCTTATCAGCACACTAAAGGTTCAGTCAAGGTATCATTAGAACATGTTGTAACACTGTATAATTGCAAAATAAATAAATTCGACTATTGAAAACTTCCGACAATCCATAGTTCCTCACCTTCTTACACTGCGAAGCATAGAGCTCCACTGATAATTGGTTCTCGAATTTCTTCGCATTCTCAGTGACATATTTTCTATATTCATCTCTAAACGCCTCAGTAGAGTCAAACGTTATCACGTTCTTACTTTTCATTGCTTCGTAATTTGCCGCCTTTTCTTTTCTTGCCAACTTGATTCTTTTAGCCTCTGCCGCAGCACGAGCATCTTTGGCACGCTTCTCCTCCGCTGCTGCTTTTTCTGCTTCTTCTTTCGCGGCCTTGGCAGCCGCCGCTTCAGCAGCCTCGCGAGCTGCTTTTTCTTCTACTTGACGTTGACGATAGAGCGACTCTTCGATTTTAGCATTTACTAATCCTTGGGGAATACCCTCAGGCGTCTTGAACGTCGTATCAATCATAGCTTTGATCTTCTGGCTCGTTCGTTCTCCAGTGAATTTATTAACCCAACTTATTTTACCATTGTCGTCCTTGCTTTCGACCCAATTGGGATTGCGCATCCATTGTGGAGCAGTAAAGTCGTCAGTTTGCGGAGATTGATTACTGGGTGGTGGTGGCGGAGGAGGAGGAGGCGGCGGCGGCGGCGGAGGTGGGGTTTTTGTGGGCGATTCCACGCCGTTGCAGGAATCCCTTGGTGGTGAACGACGATAGGGATCAAAACGACGACTGTAACGATCCACCGTGCTCGAATGGTGTGAACGGTACTGCGGGTAGCTCTGTCTAGACCCCTCGTAAAAATCGCGGGACGATTCATATTTGGGTCGATCCGTTTCTTTCTTCATAGGAGAATTAGCTTCTGAAGATGAATTACCGCGATCGTTGTCATCCTTGGGCGAATACTTTTTTGGCCGCCATGAATCATGAAGCGATCGAACGTCATAATCTTTTCTCGGACTAGGAGATGAGTTGGAATAATATCCACTACGACCATCATCTGGATTACGAGCGTCGCGGTGATGACGGTGAGAACGATACGAATCAGATATATCATGTCCGCTTTTACGATAACCACCTGAGGATGCTGTCAGCAAAGATGAATCTTGTCTGCTGGTGTTTGTATGTGAATTAAGAGACGTATTACGATCATCTTTATAAATAGGGGAATTTTTTGAAGAAGATGGACTACGTTTCGAGTCGGTCTCACAGTTCTTTTCTGATTCGGGTGTCTTTAATTGTTCTAATGGCTCTTCGCTCGAGGATCGACCTCGTTTAGGACTTCTTAGATCATCACTTGAAGAAGCCTCAGGCTTATCGTTGTCTTCAGTGCTTGATCGGCTTCTTTTGCCATTTGACAGTGGTGTAGATGCAGGTGTAGCAGGTGTAAGAGCTCTTCTGATCAACGGCGCTTGAGGTAAATCTTTCCATTTCTTTTCAAGTAAAGCAATTAGTCGTCGAATTTCCGGGTGTTTCCTGGCTTTGACAATGTCTTCAAACGTTCGTTCGATATTTGCAACGACAACTGGTGCTCTATTTGTTACAGGTATTCTACACAGCACCTTTAACAGTCTTACAATGTCGTCGTTTTCAAAACCTTCGCTGATAAAATGCTGGAGGTATCTTCTTATCATCGATAGACCATTGCGATTAACAAACTCTTTCCATACTTCGGTTACCGTACAGATTTCCATTCTTCGCAATTGACGACGGAAGATTTTAGGCTCTTTTGAAAGAGTTAGTTGGAGAACAGCCAAAAAGTACGGCACGCGGTCAGCTTTCTTCATTTCGTGGGGTTCTTCTTCTAAAACCAGTTCTGAATCGTCTTTGCCCAAGAAAAGTCGACAATTGTCTTCACCACAATAGCATCTCTGTGCAGTAGTACTAAAAAACGTATATTATGTAGAAATCAACGACAATGTCAATATTATTGTGATTGATTGTTTAATAATTCGAGAGAAAGAAATGGGGTGGTGGTGGGAAAAAAATTTTTTGCGACTTACCCCGAGCGCTCAGCACTGTAGTCGAAAGTTACTTCTTCGTCAGGTAATATCTGCCTATCAGCAAAAATACCTAATCGTAGTTGGCGTCCAACAATCCATTTATCTACGCGAGCATTTGGCTTGCAGGAATGGTTGATAAATCTCGCCAACCCGCCATATTCGGTTGCATCAACCACCTTGAAGAAGATAGGATGCCAAAAATGATGAATTCTCAAAAAAGAATCGTAACAGTAGACAATAATGTCACAGAGTTGTGAACAATGATTTTTACCTCGCCTTTCTGCAAGTCCATGAAATAAAAGTGTGTTCGTCCCTCCTGCCTATAGGCAGTTTTCCTTTTCTCTGCCATGTCGTCTGACATCACTTCTCCTACGTACTCCAGGATGAATCCATCCCTTAATGGATAAAAAGAAAGGGACAAACGTATATCTGTTTAAGGTCCGATGTCCGTTTTATTGGTGTTCGTCATATTACATTAGATATTATGTACCTTGGAATGACTTGTTTTGCGCGTACGCCATATCCCTTCTTTTCTGTGTATATGAGATCCACTTCAGCATATGAGCGTTGCTTAAAGCTATAGACAGTCAGGACGTATTAGTAGTCTGTGGGCATACGCAAAAGACTCGACTTTTCAGAAAGTATCAAAGAATACATTACATACCGCCTATTTTGGCAAGCATCTCCGCAGGGACACTCGCCTTCGTTACATTCTACGTAGAGAAAGCGATTTATGCAGTCGCTTCCTGCACCACAAGCAACCGAGGGCTCGTCTACTCCTGTTATGAGTTATTGAAATAAACAAGCCATTGAGTCAATCCCGACAGTCAATCTACCTTTTTTTTTTCTTACGTATATATTGGCAATACATAGATGAACATCCAGAGAAGAAGTTTTACGGTCATATAAGCGTACCAGGAGCATATGAGCAATCGCATCGGGTGGCCTCATCAGCTCTGGCCAGCCCAAGATGTTTTTCCTTGTGTATATTTTCTGCTATGTGTCGGTATTTCTTCTTGGCCTCCTCTATCACGTTTGGATAGTCCTTGTAGAATTTGCGTTGTGTTTGTGGGGGCATTGTCGATAATATTAAAAGAGAGATGTTATTCTTATCGACAATTATAATAGGCCTAGCTTCTGCAGAGACTGATAGGCTATTAAATATTGACACGATGGCTCAACGCAGGACGAGACGAACAGTTAATTATGGAATCGATCAATGTGTCGGGGGGGAAATTGTGGACAAAATGTTATATAGTCTGAATGTAGGTTTTTAGGGGCTGTTTATTGAGAAACGAGATGCAATGTGGAGTTTGTACGACGCGTGGTTGACTAAAGGTTAAAATAAAAAGTAGCGTATGTGATTATAGCGAGGTACAATAAAATATGGCAGAACGCACTTTAAATGGAAAGACGTATTAATTTCTCAATGTCGGTTTGGGGATATCTGTGAATATGTTTGAAGAATGTGATGAACGGAAAATGGTCATTTGTCGGATTGCATGACAAAGATTTCCATTAATGGGGGTGTTTAATAGACTGTGATACAACTCTATCATCGTATTCGCCGGATGGATGTTGTAGTAACAGATGATGCGTGTGTTGGAGGATAGTGAAGGACAGTGAAGGACAGCGAAGGACAGCGAAGGACAGCGAAGGACAGCGAGCGATGCATGAAAACGAGTCGATATATCTAGCATATATCTTGGGCTGTCGTTTTATGTATAGCGTGTATTAATAATGCTTTTACCCGCAAGTTATCGATTTTTTTTTGTGATGACTGATTGATCGATAAATAATCACATGCGCAGTATCCGATAATCCCGTTACAGATTTAAAATTGGGCTCGTCATTCTATCGTCACTGTTACCAATATTGGCGACGATCAGATCGGTAAGGGTCATTGTTGTGGCTCGGCAATATGTCTCCTCCTATAGTATGGGGACCTACTTCGGGTATAAACAATTGACGCCACAAACAGAGTCATGTGGCAGGTAATTTTGCGCCACCAACGTTAACATTCAGTAAAGCTTGAATAAGCGGAGTAAAAAGTCCTAAACAATGTCTTACGTACTATTCCCCGATTGGTTTGCTTTTATTTAAACAGCAGACAGTTTATATTAATATTGTAGTTTTATACAATAAACGCTATGATCTTGTGACACTTTTACAGGTTTTGACATGGAACAATGGCAAAGCTTACTCAATTGAGAACGATTGCTGGATATTGATTTTTGATTAAAGCAGTAAATGACAATTGATATTGTCATATCGCGTAGATAGCAATTAAGGAAGTAGCTATTCCATAAAGATTTGTTTGAATGAGTATACTGTATATGGTTGTCTCTCGAATACAAAAATTACCCGTTTGAATTAAATCCATTGTGGAAGAGTAAAGAAATTAAAATGCCCAACAGAAGTAAAATCAATAGAAGTTACACCAGGTTGATTTTTTTTTTACTATTCTGAATAGCTCATTATCACGTCGAGTTTTCAATGCTGGTACAGTGGCACCTCCGTAAGTGCACCCTCCATAAACGCACACTGTAGCCGTTAGTTTACTTATAAATCTGCATCGTCGCTCAATATGGACATACATATTTCTTAAATAGTATAATTACTCGGAAATTTAATCAGAATTTACATTTAGTCATAGTTTCCAACAGGAGATAAAGAAATAAATGTACGATTGCACAATAAATAATCGTTCGCGCTTGAGCAATGCAGAGAATTATTCAACCTTATTACAGAGTACACAGTGAAAGTCGATATAACGGACCGTCAATAAACCGGACTTTTTCTCTGAAACGGAATTTGTTTACTAAATGACGACTGATCTAAAACTCACAAGTTGATATTACGGACTCGTCGATATTAAAACGCTAGTCCCGAACAGTCTGTTATATCGACTTTTACTGTGTATTGAACAAATTTAATGCGCCAAACAAACATTAATATTAATACATATTTTTCTTAAAGTATGGCTTGATTTAGAATGTGATCGCTAAATTCGGAAATTTCGATAATAAAAAGAAAGTACACAGTGAAATTCACTTTAACGAAGCATATTCTGAAAGAAGTAATGTAATAATTCACGTGATTTTAGTCAATAAATAAAAATACAAAATTTCGTGAATCTTAAGGTTTGCAATTCCATATTTAACTCCTCTTGTTGCATGTATAACAAAAGACTGTCAATATTATTACTCGCTTCTGCCGGGGATACTTTTCTCACTCTCCAGTTCCCTTTTTTGAGCAATTGTGGTTTTTTTAACATGGATGTTTCGTGTGAGAATCTTTTTAGAAGTTATTCCGGCATCTTCGATATTATTTGACGGCGATACTAATAGAGAGTAAGCTTATAATAGAAAAGGGAAATGCTCTTACAGTCTTTGTTGAAAGAAACTGAAAGGAGACACAAAAATATGGAAGCTTTAGATATTGATGGTAGATTGAAAGTTTAGGATCGATGATTCTGATTAGTTAATTGTATAGCGAGAACTTCACTATATTATAATAAACTTCGTTATACAAATAAATTCGCCTAAGTGAACGGTTTTATAATGCATGGTTTTATGAAAACTTCGCTCAACGTTATATAGCACTTTATATATAAATCTTTGTTTATCCAAAATTATTTTGTTGAGAACGATCTGGTTCCAGAAAAATATTTCGTTATAAGCCATCTTCGTTCAATCGTTAAAGTGAATTTCACTGTGTAGTTACTAAAGTGTGTAACAATGCCTGGTTTTCTATTCATTATTCTATAATAATAAGTGCACACCCTTCCTAAGTGTACACAAATGCTGATTGAGTCCCAAGACGTGCAATTTTGGAGGTGCCACTGTAAAAGGTCTTCTCTTTTTTTGATTTGGGAAAAGAAAACAGTCTCATGGTGCTAAGTCGAAGAATAATTCTAATTATAATGTCTTCTCTTTCTAAAACATGCCGAGTTTTGTGTGGCCATACATTGCGCATTAATACATCATTACTTTTTCTACACGTCATTAATCGAGATTTTATAACCAAAATGCAGTTTTTACTCGGGTTTTGTCAAAAGAATTTCTTATAGACGAGTCACATACGTTAGCAAACTTAATGTTTAAACTAGTACATCAAAATCAACGGTGTTAAATCATGTTCATTTCTAAGAGTTGAAGACTATGAATAGAGCGGAAACATTCGAAAGATATTGGTACGCAATTATGTGGATAGTCAATCAATCGACACAGCCAGGACCATACCTTCTTTATCGAAAAAATTAAATACCAAGTCTAAGTTAGATCTGCTTTAAATTAGAACCTCAATTCGACGGTTATTAAACTATTGTTGACACGAAAGATAATGTTATCCTCCCACTCAAAAATATATAAATCGCAAGTATAAAGGCGTTTCTGGTCTTTCCAATGCAGATATCTGTTATATCTGCATCGACAAGGAAAAAGTCATGAACTAAAAGCTATAGGTTACTAGACAAACCGATGCTATAATTGTATCTATTTATGTTTCTCATGGTAGTGTACAGGTATATACAGTCCCGAAAAAATAATAATGGCGGTGCTTATCAAATGCAATTTCAATAAAGTTTTTGCGTATAAGTTAAACTGGTTTTACTTAGTAATGGAAGATTGATTTTCTTAGTAAAAGATGTCTGACAAATGGCCTACTTTTATTAAGATAGACTGTACCTTATTCACTTAAAATCTAAATTTAATATTATGTTAACTTTTTCTAGAACGCAATCGAGTGCTTCACGAGTTTAATATCAAATTTCTGCGCGATTGCCATTATTTTTTCACCTGAACTGTATTAATAATTTCTTGCTATATAAACATTACTTTCAAATTTTATGTGGCAGAGGTTTAGATATGCAAGACAATGGTCAAAACATAACTAATTCCATTATATCAATTTTAGAGATGTTTACTAATAATAATATTATAACCAGCACCATGACTAAATAATGTTCACTCATGACATTAGAATTTGCGGGCCTTTGTATTTTGCCAGACAAAACGCATGGTTTTTCAACTCACTGTTCCTTATTTCTTTATTACACACAGCACACCAATTTCTTTATCTAAATTAAATTTGTCATTATTAGCAAAACATTGCACTAGCCTTGAACATTAAACCGTTTTACCTTGAACAATAACGTGGATATTCTCAGTATCCGTATTATTAAAGAATTTGCCAATATTAATATTACGTGTTTCGTACAGTAAGTCATTTATATTTACCCGAGTTTTGCCTAGCACGCTTACAACCGATATATCAAGGTGTCTAAGTTGCACAAGCCTCGAATTAACTTGGAGTTTTGCGTTTTTCTCGAATTAACTTGGGCGACTTGCGCGGACCATAGTTTAGTATCGATATTCCGAAATCTGTCCTGCAATTTCTCTTTGATTGCATATTCAAGCTTAGAAATAGCCGCATTAAAATTTGGTTTGTCCATATATACCTTATTATTTTTACAATTGCCCCTATTAAATATTGTTATTCTATGCCAAGATTTTATAAGCTTTCTTGTTTACTTACAACTTTATGATGGTAAACTTGCTCTTGTTGTTAAGCGCTTTTCTTTTCTCATTTCGTAAAATTTATTTCAGTTTTTGTTTCTATCAGCCGAAAGAGAAGTAAATCTTTTTCATTCCTTTTGTTTCAATATTGCTTTATTACGGTTGGAATGCGGTATGTGGGATGTCCTGTTTCAATCGCACTAAAGAGCAATGGCGTTGGCTTTACAATAGTCAACTTTTCTACATAAATAATTGCTATTGAGTGTTTGTTAGCCTTTTTCTCTTGTAATGCTGTAATGTAACCATTCAGAAACGTTTGTAATGGTTAAACATGGAATTCTGATTAGCCATAGTTTGCAAATGTGTGTATGCTATTAGGTTTACAACTTGCACTCGTTGGTATTCGCGTTGTTTCATAAATTTAACAAAGCATGCCCGTTCTCTTTTGATATTAACCTTCTCCATTAGAGGGCTTCTTTTGATCAATTACCAAGATATAATAATAACTCAAGAAAATACATGTGTTACCAAAAAAATAAGCGCGACTTACATGAGAACTTTTTATCAAACATAATATTGTTGTTTTTTTTTTAAAAAAATTTTTTGGCTCACAGGAATCAACTGTATGCAACCACAAGCATACAGTTGTTTTGACAAGAATTCTTAAAGAAAAAATGTCCCAAAAGTAATTGATTGTCCTCCAATAGCCCTAACTTGAAAATTGGGAATTATTGTCAAAAAAAAAAAAAAAAAAATAAAAAAAAAAATGAATTGCACCGAATACTTGAACACTCGAACATGCTGCTTTTATTTCTTTTGAAAAGACTAATTGATATAATTTTAGCAATATCCATTGGCTTGTCGAAATTTTGATATGCTGTCAAAATTTCGACTACAGTCAACTGCCTATAATTCGACCGCTTGCGTTCCGAGGTTATTGATCGAATTAACGTACAAGTCGAATTATCGTCAGCTAATTACAATAGAAATAATAATAAATGTCAAAAAAGTTCTGTAACCAGCGGTTGAATTATCGGCAGTTGACTGTATCCATAAATACACGCCCTTGGAGCGTGCATTTAGGGAGGGATGCATTTAGCATTTTATTGGTTTCACGTGACTCGATAAAAAGTAATACTCAAATATTATTGAAAAATTCATCTATTGTTGTTTGCTTCATACACTCACAGACTTTAAACTAATGTAACGTTCAAGAACTCTCACAACTTTTGTTGCTGCAGAATGAACAAACGGTTAGTCTGCATTATCATAACGATTCGAATAAGACACGACAAATTCTGATAGGCTTTTGCAATATTTGAGGGACAAAGATGACTTTAGCTTTAACAAAATGTTATCGTACTTTCGCTTTTATAATGTGTTGTTATAAACGTTGCTGGTATGCCTGAAATAAACTGTGAATCGTGCTCGTTAAGCAGCTCTATCCTGAATCTTTGTCTTAATTTTCAGTAACAGACAGATAATAAATTTCCTGATCATTGCTCATTTACATATCCAATGTAACGTGCATTTAGAGAGGGCGGGATACATATGGTGGAAATGGAAAAGCTGTGCAATGCAGATATGAAGGGTGTACATTTCTATAAGGCGTGCATTATGGAGGGTCATTTAAGTGATCGGCGATGAATTTCTAAATCTGCATGATACATGATACACGTCCCAAATATGAGAATAAACGCCTTCTTTGACGGGATTAAAAATTGAACACATTACTTACAAACAACACTATCTGGTTTTATTTTGTACCAAGTAATAGATAAAAGTATTAAACTAAGCTTTAGGGTACCAGCAAATGCCGAAATTCAGCATTAACAAGTGTGTGCCATCACTTATACAATTAAACTTTATTTGACTAATAAGTCACGTTTTTCAGGAAAGAAAAGTCAACATTCTTCCCCCGAGATTACTCTCAGACGCTCGATTCCTGCTGTAGAAACGCCAATTTTGGGAATTTATAAAATTATAATCGGCATAGGACGAAAATATCGAGGATTCTGGATGAAAGGATAACAGCACAGTCAACAAGGATTAAAAATAAAGCCGTCATGATTGAATAACGTTTATCAAATTTGTCATTATTTGAGGGTACAATATTTTTCCGCTAGAAACAAGGATCTGAGGGCAATTAATAATAAAAGAAAAAAAAACTTTGTCTTTGTTTATCACCATTTAGGATGCCCATTTTGAGTAGAAATAGAACAAAACTATTGAAATAAAAGTTGCCAAGAAACTTCAGTTGAGGGACAAAAAAAATAGGGATGTAGACGATTTAGATTAAACACAGCATTTTATGTAGACATACTCCTGAGATAGCTTTCAGAAATCGAACCCTGTTAGGAGATGGATGGCGATTTCAAGATAATGACCCAAAACATGCCAGCCGAACTTTCTTCGGAACTGAAGTTATAGCCTGGATTACTAACAGTATTGACCTGAATCTGATAGAAAATCTCTAGAGATGTAATTTGCAACGTTTTTATGGAGGTGTTCTACAAGTCTGTTGTTGTGGAGGAGGGTTTGATTCTTGCCAAGATGGAACGTCCATTGTCGGACAATCAACCCTAATTATGTTAGTTAGCGTAACGGTGAGCACATTCATAGAACGGTTTTCAGCTTTCAATATAACAGGTTTCTCATTAAAGATTCTCTAACTGAACGAGTTGTTTCAAGTATTGAACATGTCGCAGCTTTATTATCATCATTTGAGTTAATTCGGATTACTCAATAGTAATAGTCAATCCAATCAGTGACGTGCAGGCAGTTTTGAACCCCCCCCAAATCTTTTGCCAAGCATTCCTTGGCCTTTGATGGATCCACAACCTACAGAACCGTATTCTTCTATTCGAATTTCCCACTCGGGCAAAATAAACTCGTATGTATCGCATGGATTAGAATCTCTCAAGGTAGCTGCAGGTTTACGCCTTATCATTTATCTATCTGCGCCAAGACTTGGTGCATCCCCCTCCTCTCTTTTCTCTGTTCATCGTGTCCATAAATTACTCACACTTTGAATTCCAGCGTACTGAATCCACGCGTAGTTATATCACACTCATTGGAGAAGGCAAAGGGGTGACAAAGACAATAAGCGTTGCGGAGATAATCAAAAGAAAGGTCGAACGTATCTATCAGTATAACGAGATTGGGAATGTAGATGAGGATGGTGTCGGAACCAAATCTGGAATGTACATGAAGATCTATTTGAGCCTAATGCCAGTCAAAGAACTGGAAATGGCTTTAGGGTGGGTATAAATTTAGGTACATTTACTGCATAAGAACTGGGATATAAATAACCAACATGTTCAAATTAACACTTTATTAGATGCCAGTCGCTGTCATCTGATACACAGAAAACGGAACCGTGAAATTCGCACACTCGGTTATTCTAAACTTTAGGCAAATGATCGAATTAGTATCAAATATCAGACCAAATAAATAAAAGGACTAGCCGATTGATAACAATAACTTCGTTGTAGACTTTACTGTGTCATTTGTGTTACCACACGAAAAATCTATTGGACGATATACACAAGGTTTGGTTATCAAGCAGAAAGTTCAAGAAGACCTAGTCCATAAATCACGATCTGTGCCCTTTCCCTTTAAATATGGATGGTCTGGTCACTAATTCCTGTAAACATAATCACTCATGCAATTTCCCATAGACTCCAACTACTATTCACAACTATTGCAAGGTCTCTCTTTCATAATAGTCAAGCTGTACATGCTTGTACTGTTACCTGTTCTGAGCTGCCTCTTTAAACCTCACAGAATAATAAATAATGCTACCAGGCGGCATAGCGGGCTTGACTGGAACAGCACCGTTACTATAATACAACTATGTTGGGTGTGTGCCATAGTGTTTGGAGAGGTCTTGGTATTTCACATGGCGGCTTGGAATTGTGGCTGGCCGGAAATTAGTGAATGGGTAAGTGAATATTGGGATACGGAATTGAAAGAAAATGCAATTAATTAGATAACCTTCCGAGTTTCTTGTGATTTTTCTTCTTGTATAGAATACAAACACTGCAAAGCCATTCCATATGACGATCATCACAGATCCACAGTTGATAGACGAGAACTCTTACAACCGAGCTCGTGTTATGACAAGGCTTACAGAATTTTATTCAGATAACTATATGCGCAAAAATTGGAAAAACCTTCTTCATTATTTTGATTCCGATGCGATAATGATCCTTGGAGACTTGTTGGACAGCGGACGAGAGTTGGACGACAAAAGGTGTTGTGTGAAACCATGTGCACACTGATCATGCACGGTAATCCTGCTTGTACTTACCTTTTTATCTGTGGTGCTCTCCAATCAGATGGTCGGAAGAGCACATTCGCTTCAATAATCTTTTCCAAATGGCGGGTAAATCACGTGTTCCTGTTTATTACGCGGTTGGAAATCATGACATTGGCATCGGAGATACGATTGTTCCTGCCGCTAACAAACGATTTCGAGATGTATATGGAAAGGTCAACTATGAGCTCTCGCTCGGCAACCATACTATTGTCGTGCTGGATACGTTGTCGTTTGGCGCGAGCGATGAAATAAGCAAGGAAGCAAGGGAATTCGTAAAAGGATTCGAGAACAGAACAGGTAAATATAAAATACCTTTACATGACATGAAACACCTAATTTAATTGTACTGATTAAAGTCCGCTTTGTTCTCTTCTTTTATGTTTCCGATTTCCGATAGATCACACACATTCACCACGCATATTAATGACTCATGTCCCCCTCTTTCGCGGACTGGCTACTGCTGACTGTGGTCCATTTCGTCAGCGTGGTAACATGATTCCTTATATGTATGGCTACCAATATCAAACAATGATGTATCCAGAACCGACTGAAACGATACTGGATAGTATCAAACCCGTATTGACCATTTCTGGTGACGATCACGATTTTTGTGAAATTTACCACGAGAAAGGAGGGAGTAATGGCGAAGGATCGTTCGAGGTCACTGTGCCGACGTATAGTTTTACTATGGTAAGAAGAAGAAGAAGGTGGAATAAACGCAATGGGTGCAAAACAGCGACAATCTAGTTCAAATGTCGTGAACATCTTTCTTACTACTGGATTGTTGTTCGTCTAACAGTCTTTGAATTTATTTGTAGGGTGTAAGGAAACCTGGGTTTCTCCTGTTGAGCTTGTATAATCCGACTAATTCATCATCTAGTGCTACATTTACGTACAGACTTTGCTTTCTACCTGACCAATTACAAATATTCATATTCTATGGCTTTTTATTGTCATTTACTATTATTACTTTCCTCGCATGCGCTTATTATGACATGCGTACACAAACAGCATTACCACCATTATCCAAAGACATTGTCGCTAATCGTATCATAACATCATCTTCTTATTGGCACCTCGTGAGATCTGGTATCCTGCGTGTAGGAGCATACGCAATTTCGACTTACATATTTTGTTTGATTTTATTTCCTATTGCTATATGAAATATAATTCAGCCGCCACGAATGGCAACTCGTTAAAGATTTCATGCTTGACAGTGCATATGTGATTTGCCTTTTGTGTTATTGCTCATGTGTTTGTATAACCTCACGGAAATGTAGTCTGGGATAATCCGGACACAAATAGGGCTTTTGTGTAAGTTACACTTCATATAGCCACTCGATAAGTCTAACTCGGTCAAAACTTTTCAGCCCTATATTTAACAATGTCTTTTTGACCTGTTATAGTCTTGCTTTGGCCAGACGCGTATGTAATTTTGTAATTTTCGCGTTTCGTAAACAAACATAAGAATATATGAATAAGCACTCAACGCCTTCTAGCGTCCCTTAACTGAAAGCCAACGCGGCGAAATTATTGGTCTTTACAAGAACAACCAACCAATATCCAAAATCAGTAAAACTCTCAAAGTTCATAGAACAACTGTCTCTCGTACTATCAAAAAGTACATTAACAAAGACAATCTAGCCACTGCTTTGCTCCTGCTGATCCAAATATCGAAGCAAGCGCTTAATACAAAGCAGTTTCATTCATCTCTACGCGGGATGTAATTGAAGTTGATCAAATTGGATTCAAAAGAAGTCAATAATCTTTGGTTGAATAAAAACATGGTCTCTCGGTATCGCATCGGTAACGATTTAATTTACGAAGAGACAATGGAGTAGGAAGACGACCCGATATTATGCTTATAGCAAAAGAAGGTGTCACCGAACTGGGCATCCAAAATTTTGACACGCAACTATTGTTAAGAATAACAACTAGAAGTGTGTAGTGTGCCGCCCGATTTCATCGGTCGGCCTTTAGAATTTTTACCGTTGGATAAAATGCATTCACGACTACTAGTGCGGGAAACTCATTCCAAGAGAAAATGTTGGAATTTAAGAATAACAATAAAAAGAAACATCGAAAAAACCAATATCGAAGTTTCTACCGAAACAAAGAGAAGAAATTTGAATGAAATGAAAATTTTTTCTTATGTGCCGCTCGGAAACCTCAGCAAAGAGAACAGCACCCAAAATGTGCATTCAAAAAAGAAACTGAAACGGAAATCTGTCATATGGAATGATGAGAGCAGATTTACAATATTTGACAATGATGGACAACTAGTTTAATATTGCAAACATGGTTCCATCTGTAAAATTTGGAGGTGGAGGATTAATGGTGTGGGAGTGTATTTTAAATATTCCAGTTGATTCAATTCAGAACGTTCAGCGACTTTGGCTCAAGGAGTTAAAGAAATTAGGCTCGATAAAGCTAAAGACGTCAAGCAATGGATGCTCACAACAAAGTCAATGTTTTACCAGATTGGCCGTTTTTGGTGCATCGACTTTGAAAAAAAACCCATTGGCCGTCCTCACACATAAATGTACGACCCGCCTCAATACCCACCATGAACAAAGCTCCAGTTTATCTCAATTCCTTCAACAGTTGGATGATATGTATGGTGAGGAAGTGTATACACGCTTTGAGGCAGCCTTCAGGAAGACATTGACGTCGAGTTTGAGAAATTAGGAATTACGAAAATCGAGTGGAGGCCGAACATAATGATGGTTATAGTTACATTCTCACAATGATTGATGTATTCTCACGTTACGTCTGGGTTATTCCGCTGCATACGTTGAAACAGGCGATACGAACTGAGTCCAAGCTAGTCTCCTGACTTAAATCCAGTTGAACATTTACAGAACAGATTAGAGAACTGTATTACAGGAAGAATGGAGACGAATCAAACAATCAGCTTGATAGAAAGTATGCCACGGAGAATAGAAGCAGTTATTACAAGCAATGGCTGGCCTACTAAATATTGATTTATGTAGTTAATTCATTAGTTGAAGTATGATATGTTAGAATTTGAGACATGATTATTATTACGTACGATTTTGTGCAATTAATAAATTTTGGGTGTGCAATACTTTTGTATGTAAAATCGCGATAAGCCCCAACCTTCTTTCACGCTATATCTAATCACTGCTGGTTTGTGCATTGAACGTGGAAAGAGCGCCGAAAACAATACACTAGAAACTTATTTCTTTTTGTTTACAGAGGCGTTGGCAAAGAGCGTGAATGAAAACAAAATTTTGAAAATTTAGCCCGATTCATCCATATTTCCAAAATTCTTATTGAGAAGCAAGGATATTCTAATAGGAGAACGCGTGTGGCATCGGATGTTTGAACGTTTGAATTGGTTCAGTGCTTGGTACCAATTAGTTCCACGCACGTCGTAATGTTGTGATTGCTCATCATCCGCCCCATTTCGTAGAACGGGCCAGGATATCCAAAATCTAGAATAAATAAAAAAAGTCTACGTCTTCGATGGGAAAAAATGCATCGCGGTGTATCGGAACTCAATCCGCATCATTTGCAGTAAGAATTTGTTTGTTGGACGGAATCCCTCATAAATTCGATATTTCCTTATTCACTAAGAAGATTGCTTATTATTTTTAAATCTTAGCTACACGGAAATCAACCGGTATTTGTAAAGACAATGCGAACTCTGACTATTAATTTACATGATAGATATTCAGCTACTAGCTTTCAACTAATGGTACCAAGTTTCCTGCAAGTAACAGAAGGAGATAGTTAATTTTATTGACCGGGTCCAGTTTCCCCCAACTTTCATCTTCCCTTCCGCTCATCATATCTGGTAATGTACAAACCTCTTCTGCGCATCCTGCTTCAGAGCTGCTTTAATCAATGCAGTTATATTTTCAACTTTTGATGCCGCAATTTCTGAACACTCTACAATTGTTTTTAATTCTAACGGTATCCCTCCAGCTTTTGAAATAGCACAGATCTCTTGGTAACTGTTTATAGTTAAAGTCATGTCACCTTCACGGACTTGTTCCTCCCGGTGAAGCGGGTCAACCACAAAGAGATTTCTTAAAGTACGAGTGACTTAGTTCTCAATTAAGTAGTAAGGCATGTAATCGAAAAATAAAGCAGATGTTTACCCATTATCGAAGAATGCAAATGTTACACATATGGGCATATGATGGATAGTCAATGGGACTGGATTTCGTGATTCTAATGAATGCTAGAATGGGGAAAAATCAATTTGCAAACTCCTTTTTAAGCAAACTTGTACCAATGATTGAAAGATAGAAAACCTTACTATCGTGACATCAGTCCCGACTACAGTAACGTCTGGCCGTCGAAAGTGTGACAATGCTGTTAATGCAGCTATGCAGGCAGCGTCCACTATGTTACCATCATGATCGAGGAAATGAATATCTATGCGTATCGTCCAGACCTACAACAAATGCAAGCAAGCATAGAAACAGTTAGCCTATACAGTACATAAAATACTGTAAAGTATATCGGTGATTGGCACATACTTTTTCTCCAGCAATAATACACAGTCCTTCGGTATCGATTGCATCGCTTCTTTTCAAGGCCTTTTCTATTATACGGCTGGCAAGAACTTCATCTTCCGATGGTCTTATATTGACGATCCGTAATTAGGATAAAAAGGGAAAACCTACTTTCTGTGAGCATACACACAACATGAATCGAGGTCCATATATACTAATTCTACATCCATCACCTTCCCGGTTCCAAGCTAGGAATTGCCATAGGTGACATTTCCGTATTGAGCACCAGTATGCCTTCCGTCGGTCTCCCTTCATATGGACGTGTTACTTCGCAAGATACCTTAGCAAAAACTCTGTGCAAAGTGTATTGAAAAGTATAAATTCGATCGAATTCGTTTACAAACGTGAAAATTCTAAACAATCAATAGACCAAACCAACCTAGTAGAACCGAGCTGTACTTCTGCATGCCCAAATTCGCGTCCTAGATTGATTTCAATGTTTCTAAATTCTATTTTATTCCGGCAGTCCAACCTATAACCCTCTTTAAGTGCTTGTAATATAAAAGCTTTTTCGGGGATTGATGGTTCTGTTTCTTTGACCATTTTTTTCGACAAGCTGTTACTATCATTGATGAAGCAGAATAATTCATAGTTGTGTGACTTACAAAAACGTGACATCTAAAATAATCGCCCAATAAAATCACCCCACTTGCGCCATTCACAAATGCTAGTTGTCTGTTTTTTGCAAACCATTCACAGAATTAAGATTTAAGTATGAAAACCCTTTCCGTTGTCATAACGCTGAGCTTTGAGTTCAAATTTATTTCAAGAAACAAAGGAATGACCTTTAAAATCCAGCCGTACTTGATTTTTTTCACAACATCACTATATGATTCCAATATACTGTAGTTTCTTAATCAATCCAAAACTACCATTGCACTTGAATCTAGTATTACCGGGTATCATAATTTAATTCGATACTTTCATAATAACCGCAAATTACTAATATAAGGTAAAATTAAATGGTAACATTATTTTTATTCTGTCCTCTCGCATCGAAAATTATGCTCAGCCGATGAACTTTCGATCTTAATTCCAATCGAATTATAATCGAGCAGAACTCAGAGGTTGAATAGTAATACAGTGCAAGCATATAGAAAACCAAATCTTGGAATTCGTGAGTATTGATAAAGCCTATAAAGGTCTCCAACTGTCGTTGAAAGGTTTGGCGATAGTAGGAATAGCCTAAGGTTCCGCTGGAAGATGCTAAATCTCAGGTCGTTACAACAAATGCTATTCCCCCGCGTGGGTTTGAGTTGTGATAAGAAGCTGGACTTGCCATATGGTTCATGCCCACAAGAAATCTTTGAAAACAACTCAACGAGAATGATGAAACAGAAGTGGCACAATAAATGAACTGTTTGTTTTTTTTGTTAAACGTATAGTATATATTAATATTGCTTAATATGCAATGCCTTACTATCTTTTAGTCGTTGGAACCATTTCCGATTACTTTGATCATTCGTGTTATACAATCATTTATAAAGTTACAGATTGAATGATATTGCTTGCATTTATTAAACACACTGAAGTCTTTTCTTTAAACCGATTTGGTGAATGATCGGGAGACTGTTTCACGTTGATTTTTAGTGTCATTCACCGAAGTTATATTGACG